GACCGCCCTTGGCTACAGTCTGACATATATCTCGGCTATCTCTGATGCCAACATTGAACCTTCCTCCCTAACAGTTCTCGCCGACAAATCTTACTACTCCCAATCATCTTCCACCCCAGCATCAGACTTACACCCCCCCCGCTTCATCAACTTTCAAACCACTCTTTCCAAGGCCCACAAGACTGGGTTAGGCTCATCTGCCGCTCTAGTAACGGCCTTCATCGCAAGTGTCCTCGCGCATTATCTACCCTCATCCATATTCTCCCCACACACCCATGCCTCCCAAAACATCCTCCACAACCTTGCCCAGGCCGCTCATTGTGCTGCTCAGGGGAAAGTAGGCTCTGGCTTTGACGTAGCAGCCGCAACCTATGGAAGCTGTGTCTATACCCGTTTTTCCCCAGCTCTCCTTGACGGGCTTGGCGAAAATGGCTCCGCGGGATTCTCAGAACGACTGAAAAACCTAGTGCATGGCGAATGGGACGTTCAGGTACTTAAGCAAGGAGTAGCTGTGCCCAGGGGACTACGATTGGTGATGTGTGACGTCGATTGCGGTAGTCAGACGGTGGGAATGGTAAAGAAGGTGCTAGCGTGGCGGAGAGACAGCCCACAAGAAGCAAAAGAGCTTTGGGATGAGTTGCAGACCGAGAATGACACACTCCGGGCAATTCTTTCGCAACTTGCGATCCAGGAAAAAGCAACAGTGGGCGGCCTGACAGAAATTGAGCATTGGAAAGCACTGATGGAGGTTCTTGCCTCCATTCGCAAGCTTATCCGCAAAATGTCCGCTTTGTCTAATGTGCCTATTGAACCTCAATCTCAAACCGCACTCCTAGATGCCTGTTCGACTGTCCCTGGCGTCGCAGGAGGAGTAGTTCCTGGGGCAGGGGGATACGATGCTGTTGCGTTGCTTGTGGCCGATAACGAGGATGTCTTAAAGGGGTTGAGGGGGCTATTGGAAGATTGGGAGGTCTCCGTAGACGGAACGAGAGATGGTGAGAATAGCGGAGGAGTCAGGGTGCTTGATGTCAGGGAGGAAATGGAAGGAATTCGGGGCGAGGACGCTGACGCTGCGGCGTATTCGGGGTGGATTCTTTGAAAACAAATAAGTGATTGAGCTAAGGTATATCAAACAGGAAACACCTATAGGAAGATATATCCACATATCAACACGAAAAACGATGAAGTGCAAAGAAAGCAAGAGCTTGCGATTGTGTCATGGTCAAGCCTTGACATTTCGGACCCGATCAGCGACGCTACCATGACCCATCACAATAGCACCTTCTTATCTTGGGCAACTCCAAAAGCATGCTGAACCTTCCGGATGAAGTTCATCACGGCTAAGACTCATCCTTCACCAGACGGGATGATGTTGAGGTGCTGAAGCGAGATTGGGGATAAGGGATTATTTATATTAAGCTATCGTGCTAACCTTGAAATACGTAGTGACAATCTGTCATGTCAATTAAAGAATTAAAGATTCCTCGATGTCAGAATCTCCACTGCCAGAACCATTGTCAGTTATCTTCTCAGCTCCTTCGAGAGAAAATTCTAGAACTGTAGGCCATGTATGAGATGAGTATTTGTCGAGCCAGTCCAAAATAAATCTGCAGGGCTAAGAATTAAATAAAAGGGACCCAAGCGCGCATCCCGCAAACGTGTCATGACAGATTTAAGGTATCTTTGCGGCGGCTACTGTGGATCGCCACAAATCGAGATACATGAAATGCCACAATTGAGTTACTAGTTTAGAAGAGCGGGAGTAGAATGTAGGATAGAGTGAATGATAAAATGTGGCTGTCGAAGGATTGGTAGCGGAGACGGAGAAATGCCAAGATACATGTAGGTACTATGTAGATGGCTCATTCAAGAAGCTGCAATACCCTAGCGCGCGGCGCATTTTCCCAGACCACGGTAAAGAATAAAGCCAACCAAGAAAGCCGCCAGATACAAGGCTACTGGGGAGATACAAGGCCTCGTGAGATCACTTATCTCCACTCACCCATCGGAGACATTATTTGTTGCTTAATCCAGTCTCTTTTCTCTCGACGTTAGTGAACGAGAAGCCGCTCATTCGCCATTTTATTTTTTTCCTTGCCAACTGAGTCAAGCCCAGCCTTGTTTGGGGCTCGCAGTCCGGTCTCTTCCACGACACCAAGCCCCTTCCGGTCTCATCGACCTAAGCAGGATTACCTCCGAAAAGCTGCATGCGATCTCTCACGAAGAACGCTTCGAATCAAAGTTCATCGCGTGTGACTCCAATCATCATACTCAGGCCAAAGTCGCTCACTGCAGGATAACAAGAACCCTAAGGCCGTTCGTTGGTTGTACCATCAAATTCTTATCCATTCAAAGTCCAGGAAAATTCACAGCCCTCCCACGATCATATCGAGGGTGGCCAAGACCGTGAAATCTTGCTTGGCATTTACTCTTCGAACATTTTTTCAATGGCATCGTCTCCCAACCCTCAGCAACAGCAGGCGTCACATGCAACAACGGGTTCCGACGAGGCCGCAGTAACAGAACCTTCAAGCCATAACGGCCATTCCGCCGTTTTATCAACAGGTGTGGAATTGAATAACCTCGACTCGACAAGGAACCCCAATGACTTTAGCATATCATCTCCAAAGCTGAATATGGGGTCGACGAACAGTCCTATTGAACAGTCATCGTCTTCCGCGCAGAATGAAGACCAGGCAGCTTCTGTCGAGCCTTCATCTCCACGTCTACCCAACCCACCAGAGGTCGTTGCCTCCCCAGCAACTCCCCCCATTGCTCCTACAGCTACCAATACTACACTCAATCAGCCGTCGGCGAAAGAGCCAAAGCCTGCCTCTCCTAGCATCCAGATAACGCTCCTCCTGATAACGGGAGCTAGGCACCCCTACAAAGTGGACGAGAAGTATCTTCGAAAACGCGACGTCAATTTTGCAGACAATGATCCTTTCACTATCTCTGTCTACACTCTTAAGGAGCTCATATGGAAGGACTGGCGAGAAGGTACATCAATAAGCCGTCACAGTTTTCTCCTGCGTAATGCACATTGGGTTACTCCTTTCGAATGCTAAAAGCAGATTGCTATGATACGAGCGGTCCGGCGCAGCCATTTCCATCCTGATACAATATTGACAGTGGTTGCAGGTCAAATAACTGACTATATATGCATCTAATAGAATGGGAGCCAAGACCAACGAACCCTAGTTCGATCCGGCTTATACAGTTCGGAAGGTTATTGGAAGACAAGGCCCAGTTAAAAGGTAAGGATTTTACAAGCTTTCCCACTTGCCGAAAGCTGTGAAGCTAGGAGATGTTCTAACATCCATGTGTGCGTGTCAGACTGCCGGTTCAACGCAGATGCCCCAAATGTCCTTCACATGAGCATCAAGCCCCAAGAAGTTGTCGATGACGAAGACGCGGCAAAAGCCAAACATGGTTTGGGTGGGGGTCGAGACGAGAGCGGAAGATCGACGGGTTGTCGATGTGTCATTCTCTAGTTATTTGAAATTGAATCGCAAGATCTTTGGCTGCTTTGAGATGTCACTCATTGCCACCAAAGTTGAAGGAGGTCGATTGATATACAATATCTATTGGTTTCTCTTTCACTTCCCCTCTTTGGCGAATGAGGCGCCGTTGTGATCTTCTGATTCTCAATGGTTTTGCGAGACTGTATTTCTTTGACCGCATAACTTCTCCCAAGCCTGCCTCTGTTATGTTTCATTTTTCAATACACGTCTGATGGAATGCAGAAACGAGGAAGGATACCAAAGTCCGAGAATCACGGACGCTGGGAGTCTGCCAGGCGAGAACAGTCCTCGGACAAGCTGGTCTTTTTCCTTTTCTCACATCATGCAATGGGGTTTCATTGTGTTCTTCAGCGCTGAGAAGCACAAACGGTGGCCCCAACAGGCGTTCATGGTTTGGACAATCACCGTGTATCGGTTTATAGTCTTTTTATCCCTCTCTCGTGTAATTGGTTTTGTTTTCCTTACCCTGGAGAGACTGCATTAGTGTTTCCCTTTTCACTACTCTGTACTTTCTCGAACGGGGCCTTGTATTCACCACTAACACATTGATTCCTTCAGATCTGCACAGCATCCTCTATTGTGTTTTCTCCTCTTAGTGTAGATTCTACTTTTTCTGTTTTGCTGCAATACCAGCATAAGCGGATGGTGGGTTTTTCCCCTTTTCTTTTCCTTTTTTTGGGGAAAAGACCAGAGTACACCGATACGTAGGGACAGAGTTTCTATCTGGATTTCATGTGCAGTTTATAGTTCGGATAGGAGCAACGAATAGGAACCCCCCTCCCCAGGTTTAAGCCAGAGCCTAATCGGGCGCGGTACGAACTATTTGGGCCAAGGGAAGAACAGGGTTTGTTTTTGAACCCTGTAAGTGTTCCTCTTAGGCTAGATAGATAGATTTCACTTAGCCTATTTGGCAGTAGGTTGGACAAGCAAAAGTATTCCTTTCTTAATATTACCCGCGGACGAATGACTCTTCTGCTAGTTCTCTGTACATCAACTCTCGTTTCCAGAGAGTTATAATGCGCGTAACGCTTATTTTTATTCTTTTACTCCCCTCAACTTTCTTGGGGGACAAATACTGGATGCCACACAATATTCCCCCGAAGGACAGCCACAGCTCACATATTCAGGAAGGATATCCATACCATACCTCTCTCAGGGCCACTGTTGGTTGCACCACCTACTCAAGAGAGGGACTTAAACTAATGGACATGCGATTGGTAGCGACAGAATGAAAAGAGGAGAGAAATATCCTTGGAGGGTAGCCGGGCTAAAAATTGAAACGGTGGTATTCAGTGTTCAGTAAACATTGTGCATAACTGTCACTTTATTTTATTTTTTTCCTACTATACCACCTTACATATTGGCTTCTCTATCTAAAGGCCAAAAATTTTTGGATGTCTACGCCTGTTATCTCGATAGGGAGGCGCGGTGGTTTGCGGTATGGAAATAGAGGAGAAAAAACCAAAAAAAAGAATGTGACCAGAGGGAGGTTCGAACTCCCGACCTTCTGCGCTGTCCAGGCACGTGACCTTGTTAAGCAGACGTTATGACCAACTAAACCATCCGGCCATGTTACTTGTGAAGTGTTTGCGGTAAATAGTATATATAGCAGATAGGCAGAAAACCTCCCTTGGCATTCGCGAGGATAGAATCCATCAGGAAAGAACCTTCCATCAAATAATCTACACTCCTCGATCTCTTTAGACACAACAACTAAATACGTCAAAATGGGTTCCGTTGTCCTACCACATCTTGTCACCGGCTGGCATGTGGATCAGGCTATAATGTCCGAGGAAGAACGCCTTGTAGTTATACGATTCGGGCGCGACTGGGATCCTGATTGCATGCGACAGGATGAGGTCCTCTATCGTACGTTCCGTTCAACTTATACCTCCTCCTTAGCTGTTGGCTTGTTCTGCATGGTGGCAGACGCGTCGTGTTAACGTCCAGAACAGGCATAGCAGACCGCGTTAAAAACTTCGCTGTGATCTACGTTTGCGACCTCGATCAAGTCCCCGACTTCAAGCAGATGTACGAGCTTTACGACCCGATGACCCTGATGTTCTTCTTTCGCAACAAGCACATGATGTGTGATTTTGGGACCGGTAATAACAATAAACTCAACTGGGTGCTGGAGGACAAGCAGGAGCTAATCGACATTATTGAAACGATCTATCGCGGGGCGAAAAAGGGTAGGGGTTTGGTTGTCAGTCCGAAAGGTAGGCTTTAGTTTTGGGAACTTATTGAGGTCGTATAGGCTAACCTTTTTAACAGACTACTCTACAAGGTATCGCTACTAGGGATTCTGCGGGTGTTCTTGATATTTGCTGGGTTTGGTACCATCGCTCTTAGGGCTGTGTTAGAGAAATGGAAGCTAGAATCTGGTGGAAGGAATGTTTCATTCCTGGCAACACCAATACAATATGGTTGGTCTCACTATCGAATCTTGTTGGACCATCATTCAATTTCTTCCATGCTAATGTGATGTCCCCACTATAAGCACAAATGCACTGTCATCAAGTAAGTACTCGCCCGTTAACGTACAGCATCGATTCCTTCAATATGACCCTCGCAGAGACATAGTAGCTACGCCGCGAACGCATTAGTGTTTACTCTATCACTTGAGTGCAAGCCTAGCCAACATTCTATGTGACGAAAAGTCCCTCGAACTATAAATACCGGGTGTCCTTGTTGCGACTGGTACATATATTCATCTCATCCCATAGCCACAACTATGTAGACTGTTCTATCCGTTCGAGGGCACGTAAGTCGTTAGGTAATGAACCTAGAAAGTAAGCACAAATTATTTAGACAGGTTCTACTGCGGCCTAGGTGATAATAATTGTAGTCATATCGAATCAGTGACACCCTTTCGGCTAGCTTGGTTTATTCGCTTCGCCCTAGAAATTTGCCTCTGTACTCCATTTCATCTAACATCACTCCCTCTAAGCACCACCTTTCCTTCATTGTTGACAGCCTCTGCCATGGACGATCTCGAGTCCCTTGAATTCCTCTCACTCGTCTCGAAGGTCACATCTGAACTTCAAAATCATCTTGGCATCAGCGACGGGGCTCTCGCCGAGTTTATAGTTGATCAACACTCGAAATGCTCTTCGCTCCCAGAATTCAAGAAGCTCCTGGAGGAGATAGGAGCAGAGTTTCCTCAAAGCCTGATCGAGAGCGTGGATAGGCTGGTTTTAACGATGCATCCCAAATATAAGAAGGTCAGGAAGGTTAAGGTTGATGAGGAGGGAAACGAAAAGGTCCCTGTGGATGAGGTAGAGAGGAAAACCAGGATATTCAGGGGCCTTGCGTTGCCGGATCGTGAAGCACCCTGGGAGCAAGAAGAATATACTAATGGGAGGAGCAAGGGGCTCAGCGGAGAGCCATCGAAGTTGGATGCGATAGACGACACGTTGGCGCTTTTAGAGAATTTGGAAGGCAAGGCGCGAATAGACAAGGCTGTTGGATCTGGCAGCGGGCGAAGTAGGGATCTCGGCACTGACGACCCTTACGGAGAACATACTCGAGGCAGGGGCAGGAGGGATAGATACCGGTCTCGATCACGCAGCGAGGAGAGAGACAGCAGGGGCAGACGAAAACATGACTATGATAGCGGAGATGAGCTCGGCGGGGCAAGGAATGGTTACGGAGGGCGGGACAGAGACCGCGGACATTACAGGGATGGGGAACATAGTAGCAAGAGGCGGAAACGAGCTACGGATGACGACTTCTTCAAACGACCGCCGACTCCCGAGGTTGACGATCAACCGATCCTTTACAAAGTATATGACGGACGAGTTACAGGTGTAAAGGACTTCGGAGCATTCGTTAATCTGTTAGGGGTCAAAGGCAAAGTAGATGGATTGGTGCACGTATCAGCAATGCAAGATGGAGCGAGGGTAAACCATCCCTCAGATCTGGTAGAACGGAACCAGCCGGTCAAAGTGAAAGTTATCAGTATCCAAGGCACTCGGATTGGCCTGTCGATGAAGGAAGTTGATCAAGTCACTGGCAGGGACATGGTACCCCAGAAACGCATAGCGTCAGGGGCAAACTTGGAGGCTATGAACGGTCGAAGCGGAGATAAATATGGCGATCTTGTTCAACAGGATGTTCCCGTGTTCGAAGACGATATGAACGGGAAACCCATAAGAAATAGGAAGCGCCTGACGTCTCCTGAACGTTGGGAAATCAAACAACTCATTGCTTCCGGAGCCATCTCTGCTCTAGACTATCCAGAAATTGACGAAGAATACAACGCTACACTAAATGGGGAGGGCGGATTTGAAGAAGAAGAGGATGTGGATATTGAAGTTCGAGATGAGGAGCCACCATTCTTGGCGGGGCAGACTAAGCAGTCGTTAGAGCTGTCACCCATCCGAGTTGTTAAGGCACCAGATGGCTCTCTAAATCGTGCTGCAATGGCAGGGACATCGCTAGCAAAAGAACGACGTGAATTACGACAGCAACAATCACAGGATGCTGCCAACGAGCAGGCTGCTCAGGTTGATCTCAGTGCGCAGTGGCAGGACCCAATGGTTGCGCCTGACCAAAGGAAATTCGCGAGCGATTTGAGGAATGCACAAATAAATAAAGGTGGAGAAGATCTGCCAGAGTGGAAGCGGGTGGTACAGAGCAAAAACCAGACGTTCGGAAGGATCACCAACATGTCAATCAAGGAGCAGCGGGAAAGCTTGCCCGTGTTCAAGTTCAAAACACAACTCATTGAAGCCGTACGTCAGGAACAACTATTAATCGTCGTCGGCGACACCGGATCCGGGAAGACCACCCAATTAACGCAGTATCTGGCCGAGGCAGGGTTTGCAAACAATGGCATTATAGGTTGCACCCAACCCCGACGTGTGGCGGCTATGTCCGTTGCAAAACGTGTGGCGGAGGAAGTAGGCTGTCGCCTGGGGCAGGAGGTTGGCTACACTATCAGATTCGAAGATTGCACTGGCCCGGAGACCAAGATCAAATACATGACCGATGGTATGTTGCAGCGGGAGGTACTTCTAGACCCGGACTTGAAGCGATACTCTGTGATCATGTTGGATGAAGCACACGAGCGGACAATTGCAACAGATGTCCTCTTCGGGCTACTGAAGAAGACGCTAAAACGGAGGCCAGACCTAAAGGTTATCGTCACATCTGCAACGCTGGATGCCGACAAATTTTCAGAATACTTTAACAAGTGCCCCATCTTCACCATTCCTGGACGTACATATCCCGTTGAGATTATGTACTCTAGAGAGCCGGAGACAGACTATCTTGATGCTGCACTCATTACCGTCATGCAAATTCACCTCTCAGAACCACCGGGTGACATCCTGCTGTTCTTGACTGGGCAAGAAGAGATTGATACGAGTTGTGAGATCCTCTATGAACGAATGAAGGCCCTGGGACCCAGCGTACCAGAGCTGATTATACTGCCGGTATATTCTGCATTGCCAAGCGAAATGCAAAGCAAAATTTTCGACCCAGCCCCTCCAGGAAGCAGGAAGGTAGTAATTGCCACCAACATCGCTGAAACTTCTATCACCATTGATCAAATCTACTATGTTATTGATCCTGGGTTCGTCAAACAGAATGCGTTTGATCCCAAGCTCGGTATGGACTCTCTGGTTGTTACACCTATATCTCAGGCGCAAGCAAAACAGCGGGCTGGCCGCGCTGGGAGAACAGGCCCTGGAAAGTGTTTTCGTTTATATACAGAATCGGCCTTTCAGTCTGAAATGCTGCCAACCTCAATCCCCGAGATCCAGCGGCAAAATTTATCTCATACTATCCTCATGCTTAAGGCTATGGGCATCAATGACCTATTACATTTTGATTTTATGGACCCGCCCCCCACAAATACTATGCTTACGGCCCTTGAGGAGCTCTACGCCCTTTCTGCCCTTGATGATGAGGGCCTCTTAACCCGTCTCGGACGCAAAATGGCAGATTTCCCTATGGAACCAGCACTTGCTAAGGTCCTAATCGCATCAGTTGATATGGGCTGCTCAGATGAGATTCTCAGCATTGTTGCCATGCTTTCGGTGCAGTCAGTCTTTTACCGGCCCAAGGAGAAGCAACAACAAGCGGACCAGAAGAAGTCAAAATTCCATGACCCCCACGGCGACCACTTGACACTCCTGAACGTCTACAACGGTTGGAAGAATTCCAAATTCTCTAACCCGTGGTGCTATGAGAATTTCATCCAGGCTCGTTCCATGCGGCGAGCCCAGGACGTAAGACAACAACTGGTAAGCATTATGGAACGATATAAACATATTGTCGTTTCATGCGGTAGAAATACAATGAAAGTGCGTCAGGCGTTGTGCACGGGCTTCTTCAGAAATGCAGCAAGAAAAGATCCACAGGAAGGCTATAAAACGCTGACTGAGGGTACACCGGTGTATATGCATCCCAGCTCGGCGTTATTCGGAAAGCCGGCAGAACATGTTATTTTCCATACATTAGTTTTAACTACAAAGGAATACATGCAGATCACAACTGGGGTTGAGCCAAAGGTATGTCTGCAGATGTCTCATAGCAATCCAACTCATCTCCTTCATAAGGGC